GTTTGTGTGAAAACTGATAGAATCCAAATGAAGTCTATACCATTGTGTATATATATGTATACAATATGTGTTGGGGGTTACACCCAGTGGCACTCAGAGGTTACTCCTGGATCTCTCTCAAGAATTACTCCTGGTAGTGTCGGAGAATGCTGGGGATCAAACCCAACTTGGCTGTGTGCAAGGCAAATGTCCTACCTACCCTACACTTTAATTTTTTTAAAATATATATAATGGGTAGCTTGGGACACACCTGGAGGTGCACAGCAGCTATTGCTGTTCCTGAATCTGTGCTCAGAATGAACCCCTGAAAGTGCTCAGGGGACCATATGTGATGCTGTGGATTCAAACCAGTGTCAAAGCGGATGTGACTGCATACAAGGCAAGCGCCTCCTCCTATCCTCTCACTCAAGCTTTCAGTCAAGCTCAAACCTATAATAGTTTTTTTTTTCCGGAGGTGAGAGTAGGTTGGAGTTACCACACCTAGCAGCGCTCAGAGAGTATTCCTGGCTCTGTGCTCAGGAGTGTCTCCTGATGGTGCTCAGAGGACCATACATTGGTGCTAGGGATTGAACAGGAGTCAGCCACTTGCTCGGCATCTGCCTTTCCTGATATACTATCTCTCAGGTCCTATTCTTTCATAGCTTTCTACCAAGAGTGACCTCCCAGTCTGCAGGGATAACATTCTGTGGTGATGTGAATTCTGATCATTGGGAGCAACTGGAGGGATGGAAGGGCCATGGGCACTCATTTTACTATTTTACAATTAGTGAGTAAACTATTTTAGAGGAATTTAAAATAATCATAACAAAGTACTGTTAAAGGGGGGCACCAAAGGAATGGGGGAGATAGCTCAATAGGCTGGGGGCTCATACTTTGCATGTGCTCTCACCAAATTAGACCCTCAATGCCAGATGGCCTCCCAAGTAATGCCAGATATAGCTTAGTGGCTCCTTAGTGTGTTTGAGGGGCCACACCTGGTGGTCACACCAGGCCCCTGGCACTGCGAGGGTTGCTTGGGTGACCACTAGTACTAATGGGCCTGAGCAGCAACAACCCATAGTCTCTAATGTAATCCGTCCAGCCAGGCTGGCCCTAAGGAAGTCTCCCCCATAGAAGAGAATACCATGGCACCCGATACCTTATCCCAGCCTTCTGCTGTTCTACATGCTGTGGCTATTCTCCTGATAATTTCATGGGTTTTTGGTTCGTTGGTTGGTTGGTTGGTTGGATTTTGGACCACACCCATGTGCTCCAGAGTTACTCCTGGCTCTGCATTCAGGACTTACTCCTAGTAGTGCTTGGGGGGCTGTAGAACATGCCAGGGATAGAACCCAGGTCAGCTGCATGCAAGATAAGTGCCATAACTACTGTACTATCGCTCTGACCCATAATGTCATGTTTGTATAAGGATTTAAATGAATTTTAATACAGAAGATAGAGCACATGTCTTGTACATGGCTGACCCGGGCTCAATCCCGGACATCCCATTTGGTCCTCGGAGCACATTAGGAGTGATCCCTGAGCACCGAACTAGGAGTAAGTTCTGAGCACCTCTAGGTTCGACCCAAAAAATAAACAATAAATGAGATTTTAGAGTTTTTGCCTTTGTAGGTCAACAACAAGAGAAGGAAGGCTTGGCATGGCCTCTGAGCAGAACTGGGACTTGCTCAGCTAATTGAATGTTGCCGTCGAACAAAAACCGAGATGAAACTTCGCAGAGCTACACTTCACAGAACCAGTGTACCTGTTAAATCACAGTTGCAAAGCTGAAAAAGGTTTCTGTGCTAACCCTGTGTGACACAAGACTAAGAGAATGTCCTGTTTGTTGGTTGGTAGCAGGGCTGGAATCCAGGTCTTCATTGATGCCATGTACTTACTCAACAAGGAGCTTGACCCCTGATCCAGATACTGTATATTTTTGTTTTGTTTTACCCAACAGTGCTTGTGGGATACTTCTGACGTGACCTTGGCCAGGGTAGCACCAGGAGGTTCTTAAGAGACTGTAAGAGTGTAAGAGGTGGATCCCAGGGTTCCTACATGCCAAGCATGCACTTTTGCCCTGGCCCCAAACACCATTTCCCCCATTTTCCTTCCCTTTTGCTGCTGTTGTCATTGCGATGGCTGGGAATCACACACATACTTGGTTGTGGTCACAGTGCGGGGGAGGGGGGTCACACACCTTTAGTTGTGGAGCTCGCTCACAACCACTGCTGTATCTGAGATAGAACCCTCTGCTGTGGTGTGCCAGGGAGTCTATTGTTCCAGGGATCTAACTCGGGCCTCCCCACAAGCACAGATTTATTCCCAGAGCTTAGCTTTATTTTGCAGTATGGAAATCCTATGGTGAATTGTGAAACAGACCTCAACAGGGGGACAGGAGAGATGGAAGACCTTGTCTTGTACCTGCCAACTGGGGCTCAGTCCCCGGGAACTTCTTGTGGTCCTCTGAGCTGACCAGGAATGGTCCCTGAGTGCAGAGTCAGGAATAATCCCTGAGCACCCCTATATGTTTCTTTGGTTGGTTGGTTGTTTGGTTGGTTGGTTGAGTACAAAAAAAACCAAAACCCAAACAAAGCAGAGCTCATCAGAGTAGAAGCTCTGTTAAGTCTATCCTGGTCTTGCAGCTTGAGCCTCCGCTGAAGAAACAAAAGAAGCATCTACATTTGACCTGCTTTGTAATACTTTTCTTCTTCACTTCTCTTCTCAATGCTGTTGATCCTATTTTCTCATCACTGTTAACAGCTTGAAACACTGCACGCAGGCTTCTTCCCAAATGACTCACCAAATCAAGTTTGATTTGAATTTTAGGCCCACGTGAACCAAGCTCATCTGGGCATGTCATGATACATGATACCCAGCACACAGGGTAAAGGAATATGAGAAACTTAGGAATGCTATTCCAAACTATGAATTCCACTTAGAAACTCCTGAGTGTCCAGAGGCACACTGCCAATAATTTCTTACTACATGTTTTTACAGAAAAGAGAGAGATGCCTGCATCCACTAGGTGGCATCTGGATGCTGCAAGATTTCTGGGGCCCTGGTGGTTCCACCCTGACTGCCTGAAGGAGGTTCCCTGTGAGAGCTGGGAGAGGGAGTGTGAGCATTCTAAGCTGTGTCCTGGTGGAAAGGACCGCCCCAGCTTGCAGAAACAGTTACCATTCAGCAGCTTGAGAGCCTGTCAGAAAGCCCCATGTGTTGTGAGCCGCACAGACTAATGCCGTGACTTTGATCACTGCGACCTCAGTGCCCATTGGGTTTTGGTTATTGAGGGCAGAGCTACTTAATGCAGGAACTGAGTAACTCCTGAAGTGTGAACAGAAGTTGTCAAGGCAAAAACCCAACATCTTAAGCCTTGAACACAAAGAGAAATCACTGTTTCCAGTGGATTGACATTCAGCTCTCTTTATTCTCTCCACCCAGGAATGTTCCTTACCTTCTGTTTTACTTACTTTATTTTGGGGCCACATCTGGTGGTGCTCAGGGCTTACTCCTGGCTCTCTGCTCAGGGATAATTCCTGGAGGGACTTGCTAGGAATCAAACCTAAATCAGCCAGGTGCAAGGCAAGTGCCCTACCCACTGTACTATTACTCCAGTCCCTGTTCCTTAATTTTTGCTTGTGTTAAGGGATAATACCTCATGGTATTTAGGGCTCACTTCTGGCTCTGTGCTCAGGGATCACTCCTGGCAGTGTTAGGGGGCTGCGTGTGGTTCTGGGGATTTACCCAGAGTCAACAGAGTGCAAGGCAGGACCCTACCTGCTGTACTATTGCTCTGGTTCCTTTTTATGTTTTCACTTTGCTTTCCCCAGGCCACACTATCCTGGGGCCAGCAGAAGACACCATGACCAGGCCTCTTTGTTTGCTGGGCTTTTGTTTTCCCCTTTCAGGGCTATAGTCTTCTGCTTCTCATAGCCCCTGTCCCCTCCTCAGTCCCCTCTATCCCTTCACTACTTCTGTATCACGCTTACCAGATTTGAGCACATCATTTTTTTTTTAAACCACACCTAGTGGTGCTCCAAGATTATTCCTGGCTTTGCGCTCAGGAATCTCTCCTTGCAGATTTGAGGAATCATCTGGAATGCCAGTGATCCAACCCAGGTAAGCTGCCTGCTGTACTATTGCTCCGGTCCTTTGAGCACATTTTTTTTTTAAGCCATTTCAGAGAATTCTTTCTTTCCTTGGAAAACCTCCTCATTTTTTTTTTTTTGTACTCAAGGCTTACCCCTGACTCAGAAATCACAACTAGCAGTACTCCAAGGACCACATGTGGTGCCAGGAATTTAACCCAGGTCAGCAGCGTGCAAGGCAACCCCCCCTACCCACTGTGCTTTCGCTCTGACCCCTGATGCAGTTCTTAAAGGCTTGCTCCAGGCTCGTGGTCTGGAGACTCTCAAAGGCTCAGACTATAGGTTCTGATCCTCCAAGCCAGAAGCAGGAGGCTACAGTTTGACTTTTCAGGCACTCCTACAACTAAGCAGGGGCCCGCGTAGCCACCTGCATTCCACCAGACTGAAATTTCTCTCAGGTGGTCTTGTTCTCGGGGCTCAGCTCCAGTTCAGCTGTAAGTAGAGATATCAGGGCTCTGGATTCAGGCTGTGATGATGGCACTACAACTCTGCAGAGGCCCCGTTAACTGCAGCATAACGGGCGATGTCGCTAGGGCCTCTTCATCAGACACCCCCTGAATTACATAACTTCCCTCTGTTAATGCTTCACCCTGGTGTTTTTAACAATTAAGGTCTCCTCATCAGATCTCGCGGAGAAAGAAGAAAAATGCGAGCCAACCCTCAGCCCTGGAAGGGAACGAGCCACAAGCCCACCTGAGGACCCCAGCACAGCATCCGGCGGCCGCCTTCCCCCACACCCGCCAGCTGTTCCCCTATCAGCTGGGGCGCAGGGATGGTCACGTGGGCGCGCCGGCCGAGGGGGAGGGGCCCGGGCGCGGGACGCTTCCTGGTTGCTTAGCAACAGGGCCACGGAGCGGCCACCGAACGGCCATGGACGAAAAAGGCAGTCGGGAGCTCCAAGCTAAAAAGTATATGGAAGAACATAATATCCTGGAGTTGCTGACCTATCTCACCAGCATGCTTCTGTTTTTCCAGCCGGGTAAGGGATCTCTTGCCTATTTCTCACTTTCAAGTGCTGGGGAGCCCCCGGGTCCCCTGAAAGTCCCAGAATTGCCATCATTTCCTCCTTCTTCGCACTTTGCCGGGTTGTTCTGTCCAGGGACCGGTCACTCTCCGAACAGATGACCGTTGAGAAAGCTAAGTTTTAAGAGGAAGACCACATGCTCATAACTTTTGTTGCATATATGAACACCCCAAAGTCCCCAACTCCATATTTGGGAAATATGTGTCATATATATGTGTAAAGGAATATATATATATATATATGTCACATATATATGACACATATTTCCCAAATATGGAGTTGGGGACTTTGGGGTGTTCTGATGTCCACTGGGAGTCTGGACCTACCCCAGGGATAAGGGGGAGACTGTCACGCTGTGACTTCCCCTGCATACCTCCTACCCCCAGGGGCACCTCCCTCCAGGAACCTTTCACCTCTACGCACACTCCAACTTTGGGCAATTTGTCTTCTTTGTTTTTGCATTTGGGGTTTGGGGACTCTCCCAGAAGTGCTCAGGGCTTACTCCTAGCTCTGCACCCAGGAATTACTCCTGGCTGGCTCGTGGTACCATTTGTTGTGCCGGGAATTGAACCACTGGGGTCGGCTGTATGCAAGGCAAAACAAACTCCGAAACTGGTGTACTATCTCTCGGGGGCCCCATGCTTCAGGTAACCTGAGCCCCGATGCAGCCACTTAACTCTGTGGCCTTCAATTAAACAAGTTCTCGTGGAACCATCTCTTCCTCCCCACTCCCCTCCACCACACACACACCTGTGAATGTGGATCTCAAGCATGTGGAGGGCCAAGAAGCTTTGGGAGATATCAGCAGTGGGTGCTGCCTGACTCCTGGCCTCTCGTTCCAGCATTTGTGACTGGACAAGAATCTGAATTTAGGGCAATGAGGTGGATGCTAGTACCGATATTGTAGGAATTGAATGAACGAGAAGTCATCCTGATGCCCCAGGAAGCAATCACACACACACACACACACACACACACACACACACACACACACAATTATCCTTCAGAGAGTTTTTATTTTATTTTTGGTTTTGGGACCATACTCAGCAGTGCTCAGGGATTCCTCCTGGAGGGTGTCCAGGATCAAACCCAGTTCAATTGCAATCAGGAAAGCACTCTACATGCTGAATGATCATAATACATCCTCCTTGATCTTGATTTTTTTTTTAAATTCTTAATTGCTTAGATGAAATTCTATTTAGCAAAAGTACTGCTTTTATACTTTTCCTAATTGAAGGACTAGACTTTACATTATTCATAGTTGATTTTATTATTTATAATTGATTGCTTCTTTTGTTTTTTTGTTTTGTTTCTAGTTCTACACCCAGTAGTGCTCAGAGTTTACTCCAGGCTCTGCACTCAGGATTCATTCCTGGTTGTGCTCAGGGGACCATATGGGCTGTCAGGGATTGAACCCAAGTTGGCCATAGCCAGGCAAATGCCCTCCTCACTGTACTATTTCTCCGGCCCCTGGTTGCTTCTTTTTGCCTACCAACTTCTTTCCATTTACTTTGATTTTTCTAATTAATAGTTGTTAAACGAGTGGGGGTCATTTGTGACAGTTAAATTTCATGCCAGAAATTGAAACTATCTTTTCCAGATGATCCTAGAAGATACTTGGTAACTATATTGGAAAGGCTGAGAATTGCCAAAATTACTGGAGTGTCTTTCCCGTTCTTTATGGATCACACGAACATCGTGTCTATGTTTGAGATGCTGGACAGGTCCAACAAGGGCTCGATAACATTTAAGCAGTACAAAGAAGGTCAGTGTTGCCTCTAGACTGAGACAGTATGCTGAGATATTCCATAATAATCTCTGGTTGCAAATACCCTCACTTTGTAATTTTCCCTTTCTTCTTTCTCTTTTGTAGCTCTAAATACCCTGGGCCTGTGTGCTGCAGATGAAGATTTGAAAGATAATGGACGTGGAATCACTTTGGAAACATTCAGGACAGAAGTGTAAGTATGGGTCCAGGGAGATGGCTCAAAGGCCTAGAGGACATGTTTGCACATGGGAGCCCTGGGTTGGATGCCCAGCATAATATGGTTCCCTGAGCACTGTTGGGTATCCCCTCTCCCCCAAAGAGAAGTCTATAAATGCCTCCCCCAAAGAGAAGTTTATAAATGCCTTAATATTTAAATAAGGTGGCATCACTCAATGCCTCTTTTGCAAACCACAACACCCAAAAGGAGAGAGAGAACAAAAAGGAATGCCCTGCCACAGAGGCAGGGTAGGATGGGGGGATGGTGGGAAGGATACTGTGACCGTGGTGGTGGAGAATAGGCACTGGTGGAGGGATGGATATTTGATCATTGTACAGTTGAAACCCAAGCACAAAAATTTGTAAGTCTACAACTGTACCTCATGGTGTTTCACTAATAAAAATTTAAAAAATAAATCACTTATCACTTAAGTGATTTATTATCACTTAATCCCCGTTATTCATCGATTTATTCGAGCGGGTGCCAGTAACGTCTCCATTCATCCCGGTTGCGTGCTAGCGTAGCCCAATGGTATCTGTTCGTTTTAAGAACATGTAGAGCCTCAAACCGATCATTTAGGGTCTTGACGAAGAAGTCTGACCATCTTATAGGTGGGCGTCCACGTGATCTTTTGATGTCTCGTGGAATCCAATCAGTAATGGCTCTAGTCCAGCGGTTGTCTGTAAACCTCATTACGTGTCCAGCCCATCTGATTTTTGATGTCTTGGCAAATGAGACAGCGTCCCTGATTCTTGAGCGTTGACGAAGATCAGAACTCCGGATTCTATCTCTCATTTGAGTGAATCGTGATATTCCAAGCATAGTTCTTTCGATTCCTCTTTGAGAGACCCGAATAGCGTTCTCATCCTGTTTTCGTAGGGTCCAGGTCTCTGAGGCATATGTTAATGCAGGAAGAATAGTGGAATCAAAGAGATGTGCTCGTAGCTGGAGGTTCTTTGTCCTTTTAGTTATTTCTTCAATGCTCTTGAAGGCATTCCAAGCCGCTCTCTTCCTCCTGCGCAACTCAGGTGCCAGGTCATTCATCATGTTGATTTCTCGACCTAGGTATATATAACTGTTGCATTCGGAGATGGTGGTTCCGTTGAGAGCGAATGGAGCGTCAGGAACAAGGCTGTTTCTCATAAACATTGTCTTCGTAAGATTCAGCTGTAGTCCGACCTTTCCACATTCACGGTCAAAGTCGTTCAGCATTTGTGCCGCTTGGTTGATGTTTGGTGTTATTAGAACGATGTCATCAGCAAAGCGGAGGTGGTGTAGTTGCCGACCATCTATCTTAACTCCCATGTTTTCCCATTCCAGTCGTCGCATGATGTTCTCGAGGGTGGCACTGAAGAGTTTTGGTGAAATGGTATCACCCTGCCGAACCCCTCTCTTGATATGGATGATTACTTCTTTGTAGAATGGTGAGATCTTGGTAGTGAATCCGCAATAGAGCTCACGAAGGATCCTGATGTATTGAGTTTGTACGCCCTGATTGGCTAGGGCTTCCATGACCGCTTCCGTCTCAACAGAATCAAAGGCCTTCTTTAAATCAATGAACGTTAGACAGAGTGGCATCTTGAACTCCCGAGATACCTCAATGAGCTTGGTTATTGTGTGGATATGGTCAATGGTACTGAATCCTTTTCGGAATCCAGCTTGTTCACATGGTTGTCCTTCATCTAGTGTTCTGCTAATCCTATTCAGGATGACTCGAGTGAATAGTTGACAGACAGAATAGATGACAGACAATAGGCAGATTGGGCGATAGTTGCCAATGTCGTGGATGTCTCCTTTCTTGTATAGTAGTACAGTCCTGCTGGTTTTCCATTGGGATGGAACCTTGCATTCAGACAGGTAGCATGTGAAGAGTCGAGCCAATGTATTGAGTACTGATGGTAAGTTCTTCAGGTGTTCAGGTCTGATCTTGTCTGGGCCAGGTGCTCTTTGTTTCTTTACCGACGAGATGGCATGTTGGATTTCGGAAGGGAGAACATTGGGAACGACATATCCATCATGTGGTATGTGGGCAAGTGGATGTGGCTATTAAAGAGATCTGAGTAGAAGTCATGAATAATCTTCTCCATTGCCCTTCTGGAAGATGTGATAGATCCATCATGATGTCGGAGGGCAGTCATCTTGGTTTTGTAGTTGGTGAAGGACAGGCGGGCATTACGAATGTTTTTCCCAGCTTCCGCTGCATCTACCAGTACTGCTGCTCTCCTGTTTTTGAGGTCATCCTTGATGGCTTCTCTGCACTGTTTTGCCAGTTCGGACGTTCGCTTGTGGTTGCCTGAGGCACGTGCCAAGCCACGTTGGCGAATAAGTTCAAGAGTGTTCGAAGAAAGACGGTTTTTTGTGGTTATCTCTCTCTTGGCATTCCTTGCACAATCATGGAGGTGCTGAATCATTCGATCGTATTCCTCATCCATGTTGTCAATGACGGCATCTTCCCATGTTGCCGCAATAGAGCCAAAGAGCTCCCAGTTGGTGGTTGTTCTGGGAGTCCTCTTCTTAAACCTTGCATTCTTTTCTCCTCGTTCTGTGAGGTAGAATTTTGCACGAAGAAGACGGTGGTCTGATCCCGTTTGGAATTTTGAGAAAACAGCAACATCGGTTAGGCAAAACCGCCGATTGAATATGATGTGGTCTATTTCATTGTGGAACCGTCCATCGGGAGACTCCCATGTCCAACGTTTAGATTCAGCCTTTTGGAATTGTGAGTTACCATGGAAGGTTTTGGTTGACATGATGAACTCAGACAGTCTGTCACCCTGTTCGTTCCATTCCAGGCCATGGGTTCCGATGTGGAGTTCATCGACTGATCTTCTTGGTCCTATCTTGGCATTAAAATCACTGACAATGATCTTGTAGAAGGTGTGATCTTCTTTATAGAACTTTTCCAGCTCCATGTAGAATTTCTCAGTTTCTCTTTCACCATAACTGGATGTTGGTGCATAGACAACAAAGATAGAAACTGCCGGTAGTGAGTCACATTTATTCAAGTGTAATCGTCCGATTCGGGTTGTTAGGCATTCAAATGAATCAATGCTCGTGACTAAGTTTGTGTTGACAAGGATACCGACACCACCGACACCTCTTTTATCACATATTCCAAGGAACAGTTCTTCTCCAGTGTTGAAAACAGCATGATGGGATTGATGTCTTCTCGTTTCGGTCAGACCAATGATGTCGTACTTGATCTTTCGTGTTTGTACCATAAGGTCTTCAATGGATGCAGCAGATGCCAGCGTACGAGCATTAAAAGTACAGACAATCATTTTTGTTTTTCTGTGTTTTGGCAGCCTATGTCTGCCTTGGTGTTTTATCAGCCTCTCCTTCCATATCCTTCTCGACTCTGCATATTCAGGGTTAGGGAAATGAGATCCATTTATTACTGGATTTGGCATATCAATTTGGTCTATTTGGCAGAGGAACCCAGGTGTGTGGGACCCGGGGCTGAGATCTCCAAGCCTGCACGGTTTGGGACTGGACCTGTCAGTAGCTAGACAGTTACACCCTCCAACTGCCGTGTAACCCCAACAACGGCCAGGATCCAGAGATTATCACAACAAGGTCCCGGGAGAGCACAAGGCAGAGTCTCCTACCCTGTGTCTGACTATCCTCGCCAGGGCCCAACAGCTGAAGACCTCCAGGCCCCAACCAAGGCCTTACTGGGGCCACTCTCCACACACTTGGATAAGCCTCAGACGTAACAGAACTGGCAGAGGAACCCAGGTGTGTGGGACCCGGGGCTGAGATCTCCAAGCCTGCACGGTTTGGGACTGGACCTGTCAGTAGCTAGACAGTTACACCCTCCAACTGCCGTGTAACCCCAACAAAGGCCAGGATCCAGAGATTATCACAACAAGCTCCTGGGAGCGCGCGGCCGCATTCGCGGTCACGCGACCATTTATTTACTTTTCTCTAAGTTTTCAGGGTACCTTAAATATCCTTAAATATCCAACCCGCACGGCAGAGCCTGGCAAGCTATCCGTAGTCTATGCCAAATAGACCAAATTGAATAAATAAATAAATAAATAAATAAATTAGGTAGCATATTAAGATACAATTAATACACTCAGCAGGGCTCAGGGGACAATATACAGTGCTAAGGAGTGAACTGGGGTCAGCTGTAAGCCAGGCAAAATGCCTTAATTCCTGTACAATCTCTCTAGTCCAAAGTCTTACTTTGTAGTAGAAACGTTTCAGGGACCAGAGCGATAATACAGCAGGTAAAGCATTCAGCTTGCCTGAAGCCAACTCAGGTTCGATCCCCAACAATCCATATGGTCCCCTGAGTACCCCCAGGAGTAATCCCTAAGAAAGGCTGGGTCTGACCCCCACCCCCAACCCCTCACCCCACCCCCTGCAAAGATAAATAAAAAGAAACATTTTATTTCCTTGAAACTTTCAGTTGATTAGAAGGTTTGCAAGGACTAACAGCGAAATCCCTAAGCCCGGGCGGGGAGTAAACGGAAGAGTTAAGAGACCAAGTTCCAGGGGGGGTAGGGATATGGCCAAAAGCAAAGCACATTCCTTGCATGCATGAGAGCTGGGTTCAAACAAACAAACAAAACCCCCAAAAACTTAATTTAATCAGTGAAAAAAATGTAACAAGCTCTAAAGGCAAATTTTGGAGACCAAGTTCCAGGGGCAATGTCTTTCTTTGTTCCAGGGGAATCTCTAAAATTCCCAAGAATGAAATGGAGAAACTCTCAGAACTAAAAGAGGTTTGACTCAATGTCCTAGTTAGAACATTTATGTTGAGTTATTCGAATTTCCCTCAAAATAGTTCTTCAAAATAATTTATCACAAAGTCAGTGCTTACCATCATTACAGGTTGCTTGCCAGCTGACACAACACATTTAGATTGAAGGTATCAGCACCTATGGGACCAGGGAGAAGATGGCTCCAAGGGCTGGCATGCAGCTGTGTGTGCAAGATCCCTGGGTTTGAACTCTGGCATAGCATGGTTCCCTGAGTAAATGCTGAGGGCAAATCTTGAGCACTGAGCCTAGACTATCCCCTATGCACTGAGCTGGGGGTGGCAGACACCCCCCTCCCCCGCAAACAAAGATATTATGGTATGATATGTACTAACTAAAGGCTGGGCTGGAGCGATAGCACAGCGGTAGGGCGTGTGCCTTGCACGCAGCCAACATGGCCGACCTGAGTTCGATTCCTCCGCCCCTCTCGGAGAGCCCGGCAAGCTACCGAGAGTATCTCGCCTGCACGGCAGAGCCTGGCAAGCTCCCCGTGACATATTCGATATGCCAAACACAGTAACAACAAAGTCTCCAATGGAGACCTTACTGGGCCTGCTGGAGCAAATCGATGAACAACGGGAGGACAGTGACAATGACCAACTAAAGGCTAAATCAGGGAAAGAAAATCCCACAAATTTGATCATTGTAGAAACCCCCTTAATATAGCTCAGTATGCTTAACAGTTTGACTATTCAAACTACTATTTAATACAATCCATCTTTTATTATTCAAACTATTACTTAGTACAGTCCAAGGCCAAGGTAGTTAGGAAAAAAAAAATCTAGGGGCTGGAGTTATAGTACAGCAGGTAGGGCACTTGCCTTTCACTTGCCATACAGGTCTAATCCCCAGCATCCCAGCTGGTCTCCTGAGTCCTGCCAGGGTAACTCCTGAGTGTAGAGCAGGAGGAAACCCTGAACACTGCAGGGTAGGGCCCAAAATTAAAAGAAAAATCCAGGTTTCCATCTCATCTTCAGTTACGTGTTTAATTGCATTTCCTAACTGGCAGACTGTAAGTGGGTGCTCAGGCTGAAAGGGCCATTAGTAAAGCAGAAATTGCCCATATTAATAGAGGAAAATAGACACTGCTGTAGGGATCAGTGTTAAGACATTGTGTATCCGAAACTGAATCATGAATAACTAGTCCACAGTGACTACATGAAATTTTTTTAATGAAAACATTTTTAAACATTTATAAAAAGGAACTTCCTACTGCTGTATGGAAAGCAGTAGAGTTTTTGTTGTGTTGGGATTTAATCCTTTAATCCTCAGGCATGCATGGTAAGACCTTAACTACTTAGTCATATCCTTGGTCCAAGGAGGTTGCTTTTGTCTTTTGATCCACACCAAGCCAGGATAAGGGCTTACTCCTGGCTCTGCATTCAGGGATCACTCCTGGTGGGCTTGGGCTTCCACACAGGGTGCTGAGGATGGAACCTGGATCAGCTGCATGCAAGGCCAGTGCCCTACCCACTATACTATCTGACCCCTCCAAAGAAGGCATTCAAAATGGAAGGACTTAGGACATTTGAGGAAAATAACAACTATATTATTAGTCATATCAAAATGTTTTCCTCTTTTGTGAGGGACTGGGGTGTGTGTGATTATACTCACCTGGGTGCTTGGGTTCAAACTTGGAGCTCTGGGGCTGGAGCGATAGCACAGCTGGTAGGGCATTTGCCTTGCACATAAGGTTCGATTCCCAGCATCACATATGGTCCCCCGAGCACTGCCAGGAATAATTCCTGAGTGCATGAGCCAGGAGTAACCCCTGTACATCGCTGGGTGTGACCCAAAAAGAAAAAAACTTGGAGCACTTACATGCAAAGCATGCACCCCAGGTCTTGAAGCCATATTTGTAGCTCATCAAAATTTGTGGGTGTTTGGGGCTGGAGTGATAGCACAGCGGGTAGGGTGTTTACCTTGCACGCGGCCCAACCCGGGTTCGATCCCCAGCATCCCATATGGTCCCCTGAGCACGGCCAGGAGTAGTTCCTGAGTGCATGAACAAGGAGTAACCCCTGAGCATCACCAGGTGTGACCCAAAAAGCAAAAAAAAAAAAAAATTGTGGGTTTTGAAAATGTGTTTTTTAATAGTAAATATAGTGATAAACAAAACTGCATATTTTATATATATGCATCTAAATGATTACATTTTTTTTCTAAAAATTGGGTTATAATTTATTATTTCTATACTTAAAACTTAGATAAGAGGGAGAAAGGGACTCTCCTTCACTGCTGGTGGGAATGCCGACTGGTTCAGTCCTTTTGGAAAACAGTATGGATAATTCTCAAAAAATTAGAAATTGAACTCCCATTTGAACCAGCAATATCACTCCTGGGAATACATCCCGGAGAGGTAAAAAAATATATAGTCAAAATGACATTTGCACTTGTATATTCATTGCTGCACTGTTTACAATAGCCAAAATCTGGAAAAAACCCGAGTGCCCAAGAATAGATGACTGGTTAAAGAAACTTTGGTACATCTATACCATGGAATACTATGCAGCTGTTAGAAAAGATGAAGTAATGAAATTTGTGTATAAGTGGATCAACATGGAAAGTATCATGCTAAGTGAAATGAGTCAGAAAGAAAGGGACAGGCATAGAAAAATTGCACTCATCTGTGGAATACAAAGTAATAGAGTGGGAGATTAACACCCAAGAATAGTAGAGATAAGGACCAGGAGGTCTGCTCCACAGCTTGGAAACCAGCCTCACATGCTGGGGGAAAAGGCAGCTCAGATAGAGAAGGGAACACTAAGTAAAAGATGTTGGGAGGACCCATTCGGGTTGAAAGATGCGTGCCGAAAGTATACTATATATCGAACACAATGGTCACTCAATATCTCTATTGCAAACCACAACACCCAAAAGGAGAGAGAGAGCAAAAGGGAATGCCCTGCCGCTGAGGTGGGGTGGGGTGGCGGGGGATAGGGTGGGGGTGGTGGGAGGGATGCTGGGAACATTGGTGGGGGAGAATGGGCACTGGTGGAGGGATGGGTAAATGATCAATGTAGGACTGTAATGCAAACACAAAAGTTCGTAAGTCTGTAACTATACCCCACAGAGATTCACTAGTGAAAAAGAAAAAATACTAGGGGGAAAAAACTTATTTAAGAAACAGCAATTATATCTGGAAATAGGACAACTCCATTTTTGTAACCTCTGAGTTTCTATTTTTGTTTTTGTTTTCTTAGGAACGATAGGACCATCAAGATCTGGAACACATTTTAATAACACTGTAAGTCCAAAATAATAAATGATTTTTATAAAGTCTTCAGTTTTATTAGTTTAAAATGGTATCATATGACTTGAAATCCAAAATTGACTTCCACCCTCAACGGCTCAAAAAAAAAAAGTCACAAAACATAAAATGAAAAAATTCGATGCGCTATTTCCCAGTATTAGGCCAGTTTGTCTTCAAATTAAGTAGGATCTCAACATCTTTTTGTGCTAGTTTGTAAATTCCGACTTCATTCAGTACTGCCTCAGCAGAGGGCTGCTCGGAAGGCGACTGCAGGACATCCCTCAGGAGAAGGGCGGAGCCGATGTTCAAGGTCAGGACAATGCAGGCCTCTTTCACACTGTAGGAACAGCCAAATAACGACAAGTTCACTTTCAGAAACTTAATATATTGTGTCTATACATTGCAAGTCCAGATCCCACAATAAAAGCTTAGGGATTTATTATTTAGCCTTTGGAAAATGTCAAGATTAAATGTGTGTTCAGCTTATATTTCATTAGATTACTATAAGGTAACATAGGGCTGAAGGGATAGCACAGGGGGTAGGGCGTTTGCCTTGCACACAGTCAACCCGGGTTTGATTCTTCCGCCCCTTGGCAAGCTACCAAGAGCCCAGCAAGCTATCAAGAGTATCCTGCCCGCACGGAAGAACCTGGCAAGCTCCCCGTGACATATTCGATATGCCAAAAACAGTAACAAGTCTCACAAGGGAGACGTTACTAGTGCCTGCTCGAGCAAAGCAATAAACAACGGGAGGACAGTGCTATAGAGCAAGGCAATACAGGATCACTGCTTATTTAATTATGTGACATAGAATGTATTATTTCCCCAAATACAGTAATTGGTACTAAGAGTCTCAAGCAACTTGCCAGAAACAGTCCCTGAGCACTGACAGGTGTGACCCAAAAACGAAACAATTAAAAGAAGCATAAAATAAGTCACAGAAAAAAAATATAATAACAAAACCAAATAACTATCTTGTTGTGACAAGAAAAAAATATTCTTTCATAGTAAATTTAGAAGGAACACTTTGTAATATTAGAAGCCCTAAATAATTTTTAAATCAATGATTTTTAAAATTACCAAAAAGCCTTCTGACATATTTATATAATTTAAACTAAAATTAATGTCATTTAAAAAATATTTTTTCTTCAGGCCTGGTATGTTATTGGGTACTAAACACATCTTAAATTTCTTGGGCCTGGAGTGACAGCACAGCGGGTAGGGCATTTGCCTTGCACCCGGCCGACCCGGGTTCGATTCCCAGCATCCCATATGGTCCCCTGAGCACCACCAGGAGTGACTCCTGAGTGCAGAGCCAGGAGTAATTCCTGAGTGCAGAGCCAGGAGTAACCACTGTGCATTGCCAGGTGTCATGACCCAAAAAGCTGGAAAAATAAAATTTCTTACATTTATGGGACATATTTATCTGCCTAATCCAAGTCTTTTAGGAGTAGTAAATCAAATGCACAAAATTCAACATATATATCTATAACCACCTGTTTATAAACTTTTGATTCATTGGTCACATGTTATTTTAGAATACAATGAACACTTATAAGTTTCAACTGATGTTGTATTCCGCTAAACATCAATGGAACCCTAAAGTTGGTTTTGAGTCCCTAAAAACAGACAACATCTGCCCTAGAACACAGAGTACCTATAATCCATTATAAAGTCCAATCATTTGTGCTGGTTATTTTCTCTGGATTGCCTGATTTGGAGAGCCTGGTAAACTACCAAAAATATCTCGCCCGATGGCAAAGCCTGGCAAGCTACCCATGACATATTCGAAATGCTAAAACCAGTAACAAGTCTCACAATTTGTTGTGAGATGTTACTGGTGCCCGCTCAAGCAAATCAATGAACAATGGGAGGACAGTTCTACTGTGCATTTTCTCTGGAAATGAGGGCAAAACTTAGCTGATATCTCAAATATTAATATCTGATACAGAAAATTTTCTTTTTTAAAATTTTGTTTTTGTGCCACACCTGGCAATGCTCAAGAATTACTCCTGCCTCTATACTTACTCCTGGCTGGGCTCAGGGGACCATATGGGATGCTGGAGATTGAACCTGGGTCGGCCGCATGCAAGGCAAGTGCCTTACCCACTGTACTATCACTGATATCTGATAGGTCATCCCCAATGGTGCTCAGGGGTCACTCCTGTTTGTCCTTGGAGTATCCTATGCAGTGCTGGGGGTCAAAATGGAATAAGCTGCATGCAAGGCAAGCTCCTTACCCACTTTACTCTTTCCCTGGCCCCCAAAACCCTAAAAGTTGTTTTGTTCTATTTATATTTTTTTTGCTTTTTGGGTCACACCTGGTGATGCACAGGGTTACTTCTGGCTCATGCACTCAGGAATTACTCTTGGCGGTGCTCGGGGGACCATATGGGATGCTGGGAATCGAACCCAGATCGGATGTGTGCAAGGCGAATGCCCTACCCACTGTGCTATTGCTCCAGCCCGTTTTTTTTTTTAAAAAACAGGTCAACCTCTTCCAGCAATCTGATACATCACTATTAATTGTTAAATAATTGAGCTTACTGTTTAAAGTAGTTTTCTGGTCTCTTGCAATAGTGGGAAAACAAAGGGAAAAGATTCCGAGTCATATCAAAGTGTAGCTGAGCAGCTCCTCCTTCATTGAAGTGATTAGCAAGAATGATCTGAAACAAAGAATAACTCATGTGACAGCTGCATATACATCGCCACAAGCCTACGATGCCATTCACTTTTACTTACTTCTTGGTAGATATACAAATCCAGCTTCTCTACAAGCATTTGCCAGAAAATTTTAAATAAGGAAAAGCAAAGCTGCTGTTCCAGCTGATGCAAACGGTCTCGTAACGTGAGCAGTAAGGGACACGCCGAACTGGACAGGGACATGACGGCCTGTTCGGATTGTGAGGGCAGGGACAGCCACCTGGGAAAATGAAAAGCACACACAGCATTACCTGCAGTACTTTCATTCCTACTGTAAATATCTTTATCACTGTGTAGCTTAAGAATTTAAGATTTAAGGGGGCTGGAGTGATAGCACAGCGGGTAGGGCGTTTGCCTTGCACGCGGCCAACCCGGGTTCGACTCCCAGCATCCCATATGGTCCCCTGAGTACTGCCAGGAGTAATTCCTGGGTGCAGAACCAGGAGTAACCCCTGAGCATCGCTGGGTGTGACCCAAAAAGCAAAAAAAAAAAAAAAAAAAAGAAAGATTTAAGAATTTGGGGGCTGGAGAGGGAGTTCAGCGGTTCGGCCTTGTGTGGGGGTGACCAGCTTCGATGCCCAGCACCCCACAGGGTCCCCTAAACCCTGCCTGAAATGATCCCTGAACACTGGATCAGGGATAAGCCCGGAGCACTCCTGGGTGTAACCCTAAAACAAAAGATTCAGGATTCTAACAAATGGATAAGAAAACTGTTTTCTAAACACCAGGCAGTGCTAGTGGGGGGGCCTCGTAGTGCCAGGGATTGAACTATGGGCCTCACACATGAAGTATGTGCTCTACTACTTGAGATATCTCCCCAGTCTCAATAAGCCCTATCTGGGGTCAGTGGGAGACCACATCAGACAATGCTCATAGGCTACTGGCACTGTGCTAGTGAGGCTGGTCCCAGGAGAACTCAGGGCCGTGTAAAGTGCTGGGCTTTATCCAAGGCCCCTGCATGCAAATCATGCACTCAACCCATGAAGCTCTGGCCCCAAGGCAAACAATTCACAATTTAGAAAAGTCCTAGGGTATCTGGCGAAGAAAACATGTACAGCCCAACACTGAAAGCTCTATCAGAAGATAAACATCCCCTGGGGCTCAGGGATGGCTCAGTGGCAGAAACACCTGCCTTGCAAGTTTGAGGCCATGGTGTTTCCTACATGTGCACCTGTGCTCCCTACATGTGCCATATGTGGTCCTGGTAGTTCTGCTAGCTGGCGCCTTCGCACCGCAACTGAGTTCTCCCAGTACAGATATATGCAAGCACAACCAATGAAAGATGTGTGAGCACCTTTGGGCCAGGAGTACGACCCCAGCAAGCACTATAGCTGGAACAGACTTGAGTACCACAATCAAGAGTATTATGCCAGGTGAACACTGCAGCTACGATGTCAGCATCACAACCTAGCACACAGTATCCTTGGTTATCACAACAACAAGGGAATAGAAGGGAAAGAAAAAAAAAAAAATATATATATATATATTCATTTCATTTATTCTTGGTTTTGGGGGCACACCTGGTGGTGCAAAGGCTACTCCTAACTACTCAGGGATTACTCCTGATGATGCTTGGGGGACCGGAGACAATGCCAGGGATCAAAACAGACTGAACTAGGATTGGCCACCAGCAAACTAAGCGTCTTAACCTCTGTACTGTCCCTCTGATTCCAAATGTCCCTATAAACTTTAGCTCTCAAATATTCTGTTTAATGAGGATGCTGGGCTGGAGCGATAGCACAGAGGTAGGGAGTTTGCCTTGTGTGCGGCCGGCCCGGCCAAGCCGGGTTCGATTCTTCTGCCCCTCTCGGAGAGCCCGGCAAGCTACTGGGAATATCTCGCCCGCACTGCAAAGCCTGGCAAGCTCCCCGTGACATATTCGATATGCCAAACACAGTAATAACAAGTCTCACGATGGAGACGTTACTAGGTCCACTCAAGCAAATCAATGAACAATGGGAGGATAGTGACAGTGACAGAATGAGGATGCTACCTTTTTTAATGCCCCAATTTTAAATGACTTACTAATATAAAGCAGTTAAAATGTAAACCATTAGCACTTTAGACATCAGTTGGTTTTATGCTCTTAATTTTCCAGCAAAAATAACTTCCAAATTAACTTCCAAATTAACTCTAAGTACTTGATGTGTTTGAGGATAGAAACCACCTGCCCCCAGGAGCTCAGTCTCAGGCGGGGAACAGGAGAGCATGTGGCAGGACGGCCACGAGATGAAATGTGCACTGCATGCGAACACAGGGTGCTATAGGGCATCTGGCTTTTTAAGATGGGGTCAGGCGAGGCCATTCCATGCCATAATATATACGT